AACAGCTTCGAACTGGATTTTGTAGGCCGACCAGGAAGAAGTCCCGTCGAACGGCGGCACTTTGAATCCACGTAGCGAAGGTGTTGTAGCTACTACGGGCGCTGTAGTTCAATCCCCATGTTTGAGTTCGTCCAGTGCTGCCGTCAGGCGCTGTTGGTTAAAATATTAGTCATGTTATTTTCCGGAAAGCTCTCCTCGCTCTGTTACCCGACACTAGATGGCGCTAGTGCCAGACGTCAACTTAGGCGCGCAACATTACGTAATAATATTATAAATTGATATTACGTTATATGTTTACAATAGTCGCAAAAATATACAACTACCTATAAAGTTCAGAAATTATAATTATGTTGGATGGAAGAACAATTACAAAAATAATTTGTGAAAAATTGAGCTTTGTTCAGCTTGTTTGAATTTCGTAACAAGTTCAAAATTGTGTTACCTCAATTTCAACTCGAGTTAACTTTAGTCGATTTTTTAAATATTACGTTACCAGAATCAATGATCTGAACACGAATATCAAAACAACTATTTTTTTTTACATTTCTTGATTCCGTCTATGTTTTCACAAAATCTTTAGGCCATGTATAATAATAAATTGGTATTTTTGTGTGATACTATTGCAGGTCGCTAAAATTCCTAGTGGGCCCAAAAATTATTGCCTCTTTTGCCGCTAGATTCTGGCTGATTCTTCCCAGGATAGAGGTATTTTTCAACTAATTGGTAAATAACAAATAACAACTACTTTGACTATATAATATTTATGTTCTATATAGATTGACAAAATATATTTTCTAGATTGTCAACGATGTGGGCGATTAAAGCAAATTGTAGCGACTGTAAGACAGGACACGACAGATCATGTTCAGCCGGACAATTAATGTATGATGTAAAGAAGAACAAGATGTTTGTAGTTATAAGTATTTCAAAATGGTCTGAAAACGGTGAATGTTTCGAATAACTTTAACCTAAAATTATAGCTGTTAATACATATTTTACTAATAACCTAGCAACACATATCGAAATTCCCCCACAGTTAATGAACTTACGTTTAAGGTAGAAGCGTATTATGTTGCTCGAGGCGTAATTAACAAGGCATTAGTAATAATAGCTTTGCTTTGCCCTACTCTATGTTATTAGAATGTCACAAAATGCCATTTTATCTCTTTGTTTTGTATGAAAGTATAATTTTACCTAATTCTTGATATAATTAAATGAACTGGTATTATACCTGGTCAAAAAGTTTTAAATAGAGAAATTTATTTATTTATTTATTTGAGCTTTATTTGCACACCAAATACTTACAACAAGGCGAAAGTTATGTAACAAGGAATAGAGAATAACCAGTCTACCTCCAGGCTAAACAGAGAAGATATTGTTGGTGTAAAGCGCAAAGGAAATAAAAAAATTTAAATTTACTTTATTTTGCCTGGTTTTACAGCAACATACACGCATATGTTCGGCCATATTGTGTTCATTTTTGTGCACATATATATTAAAACATTTTTCAAATGGCATGAGTTTCATTACTAAGTTACTTACAGTTGCCTTTTACTTCTTATTGAAATTAAATATAAAGTAATAATTTGCATGTACTAAATTCATTTTTAACTATTATAAAAGTAGAACAATTCAAAAGTTCCGTGGTGCAGTGGCTTAGTATTGAGCTGCATATTTGAGTGTAGCTACAAAGGAATTTAACTATTTGCAATTTTATTTTAATTTCAAAAATACGGCGTGCAGTACCCTAGTAGTGCTACGGGAAATTAAATCTATCTAGGCACCTAGGCGCAAACAAAAAAGAGAGCATTGTCCAAATTGGTTTACCAATTCCACTCAATCAGGCCACAGGACGCTACTTTCGAATCCGGGTCGACTGGACCACAAAACGATGACGCTAACGTTCCTGGGTTTGAATACGGAAATGGATGTTAACTAAATGGTTAGGGTGACTATATTGACCTTCCTATCCGAAGAGAAGGAACCACAAAATGTTTGGGTCACAGTGTCTCGGGTTCGATTCCGAGAATAATGACCACGAAAACGTCTTTTCCATGCGTATAATCGTGGAGAAGTTTTTGCACAAAACCAAAAATGATTTTTGTGTGTTCATGGACTTCGAAAAGGCTTATGACAGAGTGGAAAGGGATGTGTTATGGCAAGCACTGAACTCATTTGGGTTGTGCGCTGGGTTGATACAGGCATCAAAGTCTCTTTATAATGACTAATGTTTGTGTAAGGATCAATGAGGTCTGCTCGGACTGGTTTGGCATCTATAAAGGTGTCAGACAGGGCTGTGTGTATTCCCCATAGCTGTTCAACCTATTTGTGGACAATTATAATAAAGATATTAATTTGGAACCATCCGCTTAATTAAATACAATGATGTGTCTTACCTGGATTGAAGAGCACCTCCCGCACTCTCTCAATTGCGTGAATTAATCCCGTTACAACTACTCCCGGCATCACTACTCTCAACACCACTATTCCAGAAAAGGCACACCATCGACCGCTCTCCACTTAAGTAGCAAGCGATCACGTCGTGCGATAATAAACCTGCGACTAATTATCATTATTATTTTTATGGGTTGTTGATACAGTAATCACATCTGGTTGAGCTGGAAAAACATATGAAAGGAAAAAATAAATAAACTTAAATATATATTTATTAAACTAACATAAATAAATAAATAATACATAAATAAATAAAAGCCCAACCAGATGGAAGACCTCGGAAGGGAAGACCAAACAGCCGAGGGTTAGGGGGAAAGGGAAAGAAACCCGATGATGCGGGCGGTATCGAAGATCGAGCCTTCCGAGCCAGGAGCGGTCCGTCACGGAGTCCTAGTCGCCTCAGATGACCCGAGAGGCTTGCTGGGATTAACCCGTTTGCAAACACGACTACAGGAATAATTTCGGTCGACAGACTACCCCACATGTCAGTGACCTCGTGAGCCAGGTCCAGATATTTTGATTGCTTATATGATATGATGATATTTTGGCTTTCACAAGGTTCTCGTCATATGGAATGGTAATATCCACCAAAAATATCCTTGACTGTACCCAATCCATCAGCACAATATCAGGCTTATTTGCAAAAATAGTCCTATGTGTGATGATGGCCCGGTCCCAGTAGAGCCTGGCGCGGTCATTTTTGAGCACGGATTCCGGCAAGTACTTGTAATACGGCAATTTCCGGTCCACGAGATCGTATTTCAGAGCGAGCTCCTGGTGTGGAAATCTGGCTACTAGGTTGTGCCTGTGCAAGTACTCAGAGTTAGAAAGCGCCGAACAACCGGAGATGACATGCATAAGTGACTCACCGGGATGGCGACAAGCTTGATAAATGTCGACGGTGGATGTACCTCCGATAGTTGTGGGTCTTAATAACCTGATCCTGTATTGCACAGGAAAAATGCTCGGTTTCCCCGAAAAGGTCACCGGAACGTAGCCAGTTGAGGGAGGCGACTGCATCTACGAAGGACTCATGTAGAGCCCTGTAGTACCTCCCGTGGAGCTCCTTCTCCTTCCATACGGTCTCCCGGTTGGAAATGCTTTGTTCTGCCATTGCTCGTTAGCTAAGGATAGAGGGGTAAGCACTTTATCACTAGAAATGACGTCATTATAGAATGGATCATCCGATCTCGCCAGGAAGTAATCACGGAGGCTGCACACTTCGCGATTATGCATGGTGAGCGCGCTCAGGAAGCCACGCCCACCAATATTTCGCGGCAAGTACAGCCTCATTACCGACGATCTCGGATGATGCATCCTATGGGACGTTATGGTAGTGCGGACTTTTCTATCCAGGGCGTTAAGTTCAGTCTGAGTCCACCTGAGTATGCCAAAGGTATACATGAGGACAGGCGTGACCCAGCCGTTATATGCGTGTGCCTTATTCACACCGGACAAAAGGCTGTTAAGCACTTTGGTCAAGCGTGCATAAAATATGTAGCAAACTGACTGTTTCATACCAGCCTCATCGATACCGATGTTCTGTGACATACCCAGGTATCGATATGTTTCAGCCACGGAAAGGGTTCTTAAGTTGACGGGCATAGATAATTATATGCCCTCAGAGTTAGCAACCCTTCCCCTTTCAACATGGAGGACCGCACACATCCGTCCTCAGCTCCATTCCAATAGAATTGCTAAATTCACAACTGATGTCTAGCAATTCCATAAGATGGGAGCGACTGAAGGCGAATAATTTGAGGTCATCCATATAGAAAAGGTGGGTCACTTTTGTACCTCCTTTCCGAACCTGAAATCCCCTCCCGGTGCCTTTCAGTAAAGTACTGAGAGGGTTCAAAGAGAAAGGCAGAACCAGATTGGACTCAGACAGTCGCCCTGGAATATCCCCTTCTTATCTTTATGCAGCTTTCCGCAGCCGTCATCCGCTCGCCTAGATGACAGAGGATCGTACTCCATTGCCCGTATGTATCGTATACACTGCCCTGTTGTATACACTGCCCGAGGAAGTCTCGAACAGTACTTTCAATCTTGTACAGCTCGAGGACCCTCTTTAGCCATGTATGGGGCACCGAGTCAAATGCCTTTCTGTAGTCTATCCAGGCGGCGGAGAAGTTCCGACGGTTGCGTTTCACCACTTTGACAATGACCGCGTCAATGAACAGTGGTTCATTGATTCCACGACCGTCGCCCCGACATCCATTTTGAGCGCGCTACATCACCTGATTTGAGTCAAGGTGACAAGTGATTCTCGCGCTCAAAATGGATGTTAATATCTTGTGTATGGTCGGTAGAGGAATTCGTCGCCAGCCGAGCGAATGGTGCTGCACGACCACCCATCAGCCCCTCGGATCCATTATCCCCACCATCTGGCTTGGTGTCGGCAGGGCCTTCGCGGGCCCAGCAATCGGCACCCGAACCGGTGGAGTACGACGCATGCGATGGACAATCAAAATTAATACTAACGCACTGCGGGTGTATTTTAGGGCGAAAGTGGAGAAGTTGGAGTTTTGGTATATCGGAATAGGATGCATCGTCTTTTTGCTGAGCTGGAGCTATCTATAACCGTCACCGAGCAAAACTTGGCAGACCGAGTTCAGTATATCTTGCGCTCAAATATATTTGATGTTGCCGAACTCGAACGGCTACGACGTGAGGCTGTTCCTTCATCGGGTGAAAATGCTAGGGCTGAGGATGCGGCGCCACAACTTGCAGAGCAAACGGCAAACGTGGATGCCGCCGTGAATACCCCAGTTGTGGTTGATTCAAACGATGATCGAACAATCGCCCAGGAACTGGAACTAGATGCAAATGAGGAGTACATTGGAAGAGGCGATTGTGTAAACGCGCAATACACCTCTCGAAAATCGACCGCGACTTCCCCGCATAGGCCTAAGCAAGCGGAATCGGGCTATCGTGAGGGCTCTGAACCCAATGCTAGTGACCTATTTGGAACCCTACCGGGACCTTTGCGAGACGGACTCAATTTTTTTTGGCGCCGCACTGGCAGTCTGCCGTATTATAGGCGCCAAACTCTCCACGGCTGGACGCGCTACTGTTCAAAGTAGTGCTATCCCAGCCTAAAGAATACTTGGGGGAGGCCTATGTTCAGCAGTGAACTTGTGAAGGGCTGTAATGATGATGATGATGAACTAGCTGCGAGAATAAATGGGTATTTATATATAAGATAATAATATGCTAAAACTGCGTATGATTACTTTCTCCTTAACTAATAATAATGAATAGCTTACGTTCCGATATAACAGAGTTTAAAAACTGTATTTATGTCCAAAACTTTATAAATAACTTACCTAGTAATAATAATATATATTGTTTACAAAGTAACATGCGTTCACTTATAAAAAAAAAATTTCTGCGCTTGAGGAAAGAATTATTTCATGTACGAAATTGATAGATGTAATCATTGTTAATGAGGCAAATATATCATCGTCACTCAGCTCTTTGTACCAGATGGAAGAGTATACTACGTACACAAGGTGGCGAAATAATCGTAAAGGAGGAGATATTACTACATTCATAAAAAAAAAAACATAAATTTAGAGTTTACAATAAAAAAACGTTACTTTGAGTGTATTTTATACCAAATAACTTGTTCAAATAAATATTTGGCAACTTTGTTAATGTTAAACCTTCTTTTAGTAAACACTTGTTTATAAGTGAATTACACTGCATACTTAAAACTGTAAATAAGAGTCACGACTTATTTCTACTAGGCAATGTAAACATAGATCTTAAGATAAGTAATCCTATAAAACATAAATATTATACAACAACTACAACTATGGTCTACTGTGCGGGATCTCACAATATACAAGGATTGAAATCACTAACAGCAAATTAACTAAGACTCGTATCGACCATATTTACGCGAGATCCCACACACAAGACGTGTATATAGCAGCTCTCGGTACTCAACTGGCTGACCACCGTGCATTAGTTATTAGTATTATTAGTATGCATCGGAACTGACAAATTGGGTACAAACGATGTTCAAACTTTTAAGGTAAAATATTATGATAAAGTTATTTTTTCGCAATTACGGGATATCGACCGGCAAATTACTAAACATATATTTTGTCCTTTGAAACTGTATTCCTTGATTTTAAAAAAATATTAAAATATGTTATGATAAATTGCAAATACAAATAAAAATTAAAAATGATTACAAACGACATAACAATAATTATATGGATAAGAAAATTCATACTGCATGCAACTATAGAAAAAAAATATTTACAAAATGGCTTAAATATACAAATAATAAAATATTAAAATTGGAATACAATAAAGCTAGAAATTACACTAATAAAATACAAGAATACAAAAACAAAAATATAAAATCTGAAATTATTAACAGTAAACAAGATATATGTGTGTCATTCTGAACAAAATTACAGACAAAGTCATTGCTTCAGTAAACAACGTTACAAGAAATGCTATGGTAACGAATACTCTCATAACTGCCGACATTGACAATAATTTTGGGATAGCATTTAGTGATAGCGTAAAGAATATTATGCCCAAAAGTAATATTAGTATTTTGGATTCAGCAAGTTACCGACGACCAGCTAAAGTCTCTATTAGATTTCAAAAAGCCAAGAAAGGATCTGTTAACAAAATTATCCGTTCATTAAGCACTCAAATAGCTCCTGGTTTTGATGATATAAGAATTATTGATCTTGAAAATATATAACTATATATTTTTAAGGTCAATAATTCTATAACTTAAAAATATATAATATTATAACTAATCTTATAAATACATCTGTGCAAAATGGTACACATCCAGCAGAGGTAAAAACAGATATAGTACGTCCAATGTATAAAAAAGGTAATCCTAAAGACTTTGATAACTACCGTCGCATCAGTATACTGCCAATAATTGATAAAATTATTGAAAACTTTCTCACACGACAAATACTAAACTTCCATTCAGGCAAGTGTATCATAACAAAAAAAATATTTGGTTTCCAACCTAAAAAGCACTTAACTGCTATTAACTAAATTTTCAGATTCTATTTACACACACGTTAATAATAAAAACATGTCCTAGCTGCATTCATCGATTACAGTAAAGCTTTTTTACCCTGCGACAAAGTACGCTTATTGAAAACTTAAGGGTTTTGCGGACTGTGTTACACAACAAGACCGCGTCCGCCGTTGGTTTGCCGTTTTCGGAAATGACGGCCTAGGACAAACCCGTAAACAGGCGATATATCTATGAACTTGATTGCGAAATTAAGTTGCGAGCGGAAAGAATCCAATAGTTCCGACACGAAATAGAGATCAACAGTTCAGGGCCACCGTGACAATTCAATTTGTCATAATATATAAAAAATATCTACGCAATACACACGAACACGAACTAATATGGAACAATCACTTTCAAAACTGCAAAGGCTTTATATTGTAACGGCAAGGACTGATTTAAATTTCACAAAGCATCAGCAGTATACAAAGCGTAATTGAACCACCTACACATTTTAATGTAAAACATTAATAATTTAAATATTTATTCGTAATTCTGCTGGAGATTAGCCCATATTCAAATCACAAACAATTAAATATTTAATCATAAGTATGTATCATCTTTAAGGGAGTCGGAAGTATTAATAAAATTTTAAGCGGTGGAGTCATGCAACGAGGGATTTGGAAAACGGTGCTGGTGGTCTGTTACTCGCAAAGTTTCCTCACTTCTTAATAAAGCGGAAATGTCTGCTTGCAGGTTGATTTCCCTCTCTCGTAGGTATTTTATTTCGCTCTGCCAGGCAATAATTGCCTCAGCAGGTCCAACCCGTTGCTCCCAAGGCAGCACATCTTCTGCTTCAGCAGCTCGTCGTCACCGCGCGCCGCAACCGCGATCTCGCTCCACACCACGCCTACTTCCGCTGACGACATCAATCGGGAATGATTTCTTATACTTACCCGAACACTACACATTTAAATAATACTAGCTTTTACGGATTTTTTCGCGTATTTTATCTTTTTTTATATACCCGAGGTTTCGAGCACTTTACGGTCACGGGGGGAATGGGGCTAAGATTTTTAATGTCCAGATGTCATGGTTAACCACGATTACCATGGATTAAAATTATAATTTTTTTTGCGATCTACGCAGTATGAACTTATAGCATCTTGAAGTTTTGCATTTATACGTTTGGGTTGGGATTTAGTTTTATTAGTTATAGGATCCCAAGCAGATGTTAGCACCCAGCTATCTTTTCTATTAAAATAAGGATGTTTTTTGATTTCAATAGCCTCGCGAATCATCCTAGGAAGGAATCAGTGTTCTTTAGCGAGGATTTGTGGTCTATTAAATCTGATGTAGTGACGAAGGCGATCCTGTACCAGTTCACATAATGCAAACTTCCCTGAGCGTCGATTCTTCACATCAGCTATATGTTCTTTAACGTGGGTTTTAACTGATCTTTTATTTTGTCCTATGAAGGAGAGACAACATTCATAATCAAGCTTGTACACTCCTGCATCTTGCATAGGGATATTACACTTGACTGATGGTAAAAACTGACTAATCTTCTACAGCGCTGGAAGCGCGCTTTAAGATGTAGCCAATCTTGTCAATAACTCCTCTGACATATGGCAATACAGTAGTTACACGCTCGACTGTGGCCGGCTTCACTCATTCACTGTGACGTAGGTGCGCGACCCGATGCTTATTGTCGTGCAAAACTTGCATGACGTGTTTGGAGCTCGGTAGCTAGGTGATTACTGTAACAGATCCCTCGTGCTGTCTAAAACAAAGAATTACCCACGGTAGCCAACTGTGAGCATTTTAACATTGCCAATTTGACGCAAATGGGCAAATTTTGTTTTGATACTAACGTCAAAAGCTGCTACTGATTTGGTCGTATATTGAGTATTTCAGCTTTCTCAATGGACTTTAATTCGTCATTGTCCACCAGTGTTTTTGGAATACCAAGAGGTTCGTTTTTCTGATTTAAACTACCACAACGGAATTGGACAATTAATTAACAGGTGGTGCGTTCGTTTGAAGTATTTTCTGCGTAAACGTCGTTGATGTTGATGTTGCGTGCCAGTTGTGTCATGTACATAACTCAACCGCGCTGATATTCCACAATAAATCGAATCTTAACGTATCCATGATGACAAAAGGGATTGATTCCCTTGCAATGAGTATCACTAAACGAATGACTTATTTTGAAAAAAAAAATCATGTTAAAAAAAATTGGATTTTGAATTATTAGACAAACAAAAACTATGTTGATTTGAAATGGCCAGTACTGTAGAATGGAAATTTCTTAGGTAAACACTTATTATTTTCTTTTCTGGCTCTTTATGACTTCCTGCTTCCATTAATGACCGGCAACAAAATATCTGCTGTCTTTATTCCTAAAATTCTACAAAAATATATCATACAACTACACAAAAATTACTAACTTATTCTTGGTGAAGCTTTTCGATCGATTTTATTTTGTTGATAGCTCATTATGACTTGCTGGTTGCATTAATGACCAGTAACAAAATATCTGATATCTTTTTACTCAAAAATATCTTGTAGATAGCATAAAAAGTTAAAGTTACATCCTCTATACTTCCCACAGCTGGGCACAGGACTTCTCTCGTTTTTGAGATTGCTTTAAGGCAAATAAATGACCGTCGCGCTGCAAAATTGCGTGTTGGCAAAATTTACATGTTATCAAAAAATATTTCTCATACATAAAGGTTTCCTCACGACGTTTTCCTTCACCATGGAGCACGTGGTAAACCAGCAAATAAAATTGCAATAAACATTTCATTGGTGCCAGCGGGGATCGAATCCTGGTTGCTCGCGTACTGTAAAACATACAGCGAGCGCTAGCCCCTAAGCTTACACGGCTATTTACATTTAATTGGCATATCATAACATGCATAGCATGTACACATATAATTAGTAACTCATTACTTGGTGCAGCGTATTTTTTTCAATCGATTTTATATCGTTGTAGGCTTTCATGTAGTTTTTTATCTATTTAGTTAATTTGGAACTTCCAAACCTTCAGTTCCAGTTTTTCGTAAGTTTCGTTCA